CTCCACTTATCTTCTGGTACAATGAATGGTATTCATCAGGCTACCCTCCCACAACATTAGCTACTCATTACTCCTCTCCTCACACATTTTTTACTCCATACCATCTTGCTCATGATTTTCCCCTAATCCTTTTACCTACTGAACAAGCTCTCTCATCTCTTATTAGTCTTTTGATTCCTTGTATTTGATAACTTTGGAACTAAGTCCGTTTCTATAATATGAATTTTATTGCTGTTACTATGAACACAGTGTTATGAGATGAGCTGTGTGTATTATTCTTGTGCTCTATATCTGAGACCCAGCTGATGTGTCCTGTCTGAGACCTAGCTGTGGGTGGTTGGCGGGTGCTCTGGTGTGGTTTGGTCCTTCTTTACTTGCAAACACCTATCCACCTGATCTGTCTTCCTGTTTAGTGTTGTAAAATGCTAACTAAAACTGAGACCAAGCTGGTGTGTCTTGTCTGAAGCGTGTCTAAGGCCCAGCTATATCCAGACGGGTACGCTGCCCTGGACGTGGAATTGCAGGAAAAAGTGGAATAATTTGAACAGCCAGGGCTTTGTTCCTTTGTTCTGATGGTTTTCAATTGGGGGGGTGCACATGAATAATGCTGTCATCTGTCTTCTCGTCCGTCTTGTCATTCTGTCTGTTTGTCAGAACTCACCTGTGGTTGGAAAGCGCCATCTCTGTGATGTTTCTGTCCGTATGATATATATATGTAATATTTTCTTTTCCTGCATTAAATGAACATTTTTGTGCTGATGTGCTTCTCCTACTCAAACAAACATTGTCATGACTTATGAGATTGAACTTTTTTTAAACTGGCAGGCCAGATACTTATCCCAAAACCCAATCTCACAACTGTTCTGTACTGTAGTGGATGATTTGATGTACTTTTTGACCATGTATGTACTGCCAATGATATTCCTAACTAGTTACGTGTACAGTTTGCTTTTGTGGATTTTTAAAATTTGTAGCCATTGCATGTCCTTGTAAATGGTATTATATAAACCTTCCCAGTTTCATGATCTTGTGGAATAGATTTTAGGATGTTCTGACATACATTATTATGTTTCTGTCTTTGTTTAGCTGTTTGTAGAAATATGTTCCTTATTTAGTTGTTGTCAAGACTGTCTCATTACTGCCCTTGACTTTAGAGATAAAAAAAACCTTGACTGTGTCTATAGAATGACCTTGATTGTAGTGACAGAATAACCTTGACTTTTAAGATAAAATGGTTTGACTGAAGCGATAGCTTGACTTTTGACTTTAAAAATAGAATGACTTGACTTTAGTGATGGACAACAGACTTCCTGCAGCTTCTTTCTTCCACCGGTGTAGGACTGAGAATAAGATAGAAGGATCACCCAATAGTTTCATTTATTCAACTCCTCCTGTTGCTCATGGTTGTCCCAGTAAATTCTCCTCGCCATCAGATGGGCAGCTGGTGGTGAAGGGGAATGACCTCAGTCTTCTTGTCACAGACAGCCGAGTTTATTAGCACAAATATTCTATTCCCTCTGAAAGGAAACGTGATATGGTTGTGATGGACCAGTCTGCTACATCATCATGTAGCCTACAACAAGTCATGTGAGATCCATTGTTCCTTTGGACCCAGCTGATATGATCTGCTCTCCAGACCCCCTGAGATGATTGTGTATAAGGATAATTTCAACAGTCTGATAAAGTAGTTATTGTCAATGGGAAGCCATTAAACTTGAGGGAAATTGTTTCACCATACTTTTTACACTCCATCAACTTTGAATATGGTAGTTCATGGTAT